TACCATTACACCTAAATCTGAAGATTAGAAGCAATCATCAGTCTTGTCTTGGTGAACCAATCGCTATTTATAGATGTTTCGAGGAAAGATTAAGCAGGGAAACATGAAGAAAATCAACGCGTGGTGGGTTTAAAATTAGAGGCTGTGGCATTGCAGTGGTTGTTTTGACGGCGTTAAAAACAGCTTGGCTCCGTCGCTGCTGGTTATATCATCCATGAGGTGGCACAGAGAGCGGACGGGTTGATGTGGCACCCTCGTGTTCCACTTCAGACGAGCTGCTGCTGATGCACTGTGGCGAGGATCGGCGAGGCCAGAGCCGCAGTAGGTCGAGGTCTGCGTGGCTGTCAGGACGCCATCATAACGTAGGAGTTCTGCCAGCATCAGCACACGACAGCAGAGGACACGTGCTGAAGGTCATCGGCAGCCGGTGGATCCATGACGGAGCTCAGGCGCCGATGCAAGACGTTACATTACCTGATTTATCAGATTTATTTCTCGCTAACAGGTTAAAGAAGGGCCGTACCGGGTGAAATTCTGCCGTGCAGTCAACGCTGTCAGCAAAATGTCTCACCAACTACTGGACGAATTTTAATGAAAGTTCTCTTTCAAAGTATCGCTACAACTGAATAATGTTTGAAGTCAGCCCACTCAAGAATGTTGTCACGCCTAACTGCTTAAAAAAATCCAATAATGGCCGTATTCTAATGAGTTTTACAAATATTACCCTAAAATCAGCTGTGTTTATAGCAGAGACTTAATTACAATGCTCTAAATGCTACTCACTGTGCAAGATTTTAGCTTAAAACTTTAACAATAAATGATGGCATCGACCCTATTTGTCTGRTAGCAAAATATCTCAAGAATCACAGATTTTAGTTAAAGGTTCAGTAAACAATCGCCAGATTTACCACTACAACTGATTAGCTTTTGAAGTCAGCCCACTCAAGGCAGTTGTCACAGCTAACTAATCTTACAAAACCCAATAATGGCTACAATCTATTACCCTTAAATTAGCTGAGTTTGTAGCTGTGGTTTAAATACTCTAAATTACTCACTGTGCATGATTTCTGTTTAAAACTAAAGCAGTAACTGATTGTATTTGTCTATTAGCAAAATATCTCATGAAGCACTGGACAGATTTCTTTTTTATTAAACTTTCATGCTTTCATACACCACTGGATGGACTTCTACAACATTTTCAGATCGAGCCCAGTTCAAGATGGCTGCCACAGATGATAGAACTTGGAAAACCCAAAAATAGAAATAACAGATTTTGAGATAACATTTGATGTGTTGGTAGCTGAGAGTCATTCTTAACGTATACATACTCTGAGCATGGCATCTCAGTCATCCAGGATGTAAAAGAAAAAAAACGTATTAAAAAATAAACAAAACTGGACTTGACAGAAT